AGGTAGAATTAGTAAATTTATTATTCAGCTGTTGTTCGTGTTGCGAACATGTCTCCTGCAATGTGATCATACAATCTATTCACTAACTTTTATTTCTACACCCGATCATGACTCCATTATTCAAAGCTTTCAACAAGTCAAGTGGCGTAAACAAACGTTCTCGATTTCGCGAAGCCGGACACTTTGGGCGATAATGGGCGCGTTGTTGTACGAAATGGGCATTACATTAGGCGGTCTGATTTTCAGTTTAATGGAGTTCCGGAAGCGTGAAGTTTAATGGAAACAGTGGGGTCGTAAGCGCAGCTGCGAGCAACTCTCCTTCTCGGAGGGATTGAAGCTGGCTCTTGATAGCTACTCGTGAAAATGCTTTGCGAGAGAAATAAAATGATACATATATTACGGTAATTATATAAAGCGTAAAGATTGTATGTGACAAATAACGATTCAGATTGTTTGAACAAAATTTGTTTGAAATTTTTAAGATATTTACATCAATAATTATCTCAAAAGCAGTATTAAATATCAAGAATAAGAAAAATAAAACACTGGATTAATTAAAATTCATTAATAGTAAGACATTATATTTTTAAGTTTGCATTTAATTGAATTCAATATGAGAATTATATTTTTATCATTTTACGTTGTGTAAATTACCTTTTATTCTATCTTTATGTAAAATGGATTAACAAATCTGTTGGAAGCATTAGCAAGTGTAGATTACGTTATCATAAACGTTCAAAAGTCAAAGAAGGAAAGATAGGTTGGTGAGAAAATGGTGAGAGAGAACGAGCTGCGAGAGGGTATATATTGGATTAGCGACAGAAGTTTGGTAATTAAGTGGTAAGTGAGGCCGAGTAAGGGGAGGAATTTAGTAGGCGAGTCATCCCTTTGCCCTATAGGAAAGCGGAAGTAGAAGTGACACGAGTCAAAGAGAGGTCGAAAGCAGAGAAGTGGATGAAGTGGAGTCAGTGAAGCAGGGTGATAGGATGGAGGATGGACTGTAGGCAAAGATAATTAGCGAGTTAATATGAGTCGTTGCTCCTTGAATTTCGTTACCGCGAGTACTATGCTGTGGTTAGAAAAAAGATTTTAAAAGGTCTGAGAATCTTTGAGATCAATTAAATTATTCATTCGAACGATGTGTAATCTTCTCGATATTACTATTAAAATAGTCTTAGCTTGAAGCGATAATTTAATTTTAAGACTTCACTTATTCCTTCAATTATCCGATTTATCTTGTTGTTCAGTGAAGGATTGTTAAAATCATACATTTTTATCTAAAAAAAATTTTTAAATTTATTTAAAGTACTTGTAAGATTTTCTTCATGATAAAATCTTATAAACTTCTTAAAATAATCTTTGTTATAAAGTACTTAACTGACTCTCTGGTAAAAAAAATTGTAAAAATATCAATTTGGCAATGAAGCGAAGAAGATAGACTCACCAAGATAAGTTCGATGTTTGCAGGAATGCAAGGTGAAGGAGGACGAACCTGTTCGCATGGCTTCAGAAAACAAATATTTGCGTTGAATCGAGCTACTCTTCTTGCGCGTCGAAAATGTATTTAATGTTAGCAGTGAGGAAAAGAATATAAAATAATTCAGCAATTGCATTTGGGAACAAATTTGTCGGAAGCGAAATATAGTTTTTTCCAGATGAATATTTAAAGTGTATTTTGTCTGCTTGTCCTCTAATTTATAAAGATCAATGAAAACGTATAATTTCAATATTATATCTCCTGCTCGATATATGATAATTGGCGCAATAAAATAATGTCCAGTCTTGTATTATATTATCGAGACCATATTATCGAGCAAGAAGAATTATTAGATTGTTTAAACAGCGAATGCAATTAATCAGTTTTATGCTGAAACTGATATTGTCAGGACATTTATTACGTAGCGTATCAATACCGGGGAAATAAATTAATGGCTATTACTGAAGCTCGATGTTCTTTTAATGGACTGCTGCTGCGCGGCTATTTTACCAAACGACAAAAGACCTCTCGTGAAATCGAAGCATTAAATGCATAAAAGAATGAGATATTATCGAGCCACAGAAAGGACAGTCATGTAATTTACATATTTCTAATTTCTTGGAAAATAAAAATATTTTGAAGTAATTTTCATACGAGATTCATTCATCTTATTACCTTTTTACTATTCTATATATGAGTAGAAAAATTTTCGATTTTTGTACTGTTTCGAAGTAATTAAGTATTCGTAATTAAATATTCGAAGTAATTACCGCAAAGACGAGTTTATGTTAAAATTTCATTTTTACTGAGTTAATCAATTTATTTCACACGATGAATTAATGTGAAGAAAATAAAGGATCGCACATATACGAAAATATGAGATATGTACCTTGGTAAATGTGAGGGTAGCTATCGGCGGCAGACGAGGTAGATTCGGATAATAGAAGCTTCCCGCGGGATGTGCCGGATATCGGGATGTGATCCTGTAAGCGATTCCTTGGGGCTGCGTCGGCCAGTTGGCAGCCGTGAATGTGAAGCCGTTATCCGTGCCCCCATCCAGCGGGTCGAGCTGTTGAAAAAGGAATAGTGGAAGATGGTTTAAACGGATGCATTTTCTGAGCATTCATGGATTTTAGCAAAATGACAGAGTGTGCAGCAATATTCGCGGAGATAGGCGCATAAATTATATTTCGCGACCAGTAATGCTCAGACATCTGACTTTCCGGGGGCGATTTACATTTTGTATACATATTTCGTAACATTACCGTAGCAATTGTCCGAAATATATTTTATTCAATGGCTGAATAACTGAACAAGTAATATAGGCGTAACGCGAACTAATTAATTTTTTTATTATTACATGTTTTTACTGTTTCCGTCTGAAATTGGGATTTTTTTGTTCCGAATTTTTTATTATTTTAGGCTTTCAAAAAATGTGAAAAAAAATTCACAGTTACTCAATATTTCTATTACTTTACCAAATAGATTTTTAACTCAATGTTAAAACTTTCAGTTAATAAAAATTGAAATTTAAGCAAAAATAAGGAAAAAAAATAGAGAGCATTGAAAAAGGCTCTTTTCTCTTTTCACAGATTTTAGAGTGAATTTCGCTCATGCCAAAAAATCTAAATTGCAGACGGAGAATTAACAGTTCAAGTAAAAATGAATAAGGCTAAATTTGTATGACAATTGAAAAGTAGTATTGGCATTTTTGAGAAAGTACAGCTACATTGCAATGTACAATACTCAGCATTGCAATCATTTAATTTTCTCTTGCGAGAGAAATTTCGATCGCAGACACATTGAGTTTCATATGTATATTAATGCTGAATGTAATTACCTCCACGGTAACGGTATCGACCCAATTGCCCTCGACGCACAGTTGGAAGGAATCCACGCCTACGAACCAATCGGGACTAGGATTGATGCGTGCCATAATGCTAATTAGAGTATGATTGCCATCCAAAAAGGCTCGAGTGACACTCGTGCCTTCACCTTGAGGAATCGGAGGACCCGTAAATGAGTGAAGACTATTGGGCGAATCCCCATCCGTGTCCAATCCATCGGCTCTTCCGGTTTCTACATATAATCTGGCACCCGTAGACAATCTTTCCCCTAATCTATATAGAGTGTAAGTTGAGTCGTGCGTTCGACCTACAAAAAGACACAAAAAAATTGGACCTTTACAATAACTCGTTAAAATACTTTCAATTTAATTGTATAAATTTAAAATATTTTTAGTACAAAATTTTTGTGATAATGACGAAAAAACCAACTTATTGTAAATCGATACTGAGTATGTATATTACATACATATATTTTGAATGAATCTTTCATTCATTTGAAAAGTATTTAAAGTGGCATTTGTTTCTGTGAAATGCGATGATTATACCGTAATCGTTATCTGACTAGCGATGAAACAACGACCGCGTCGCGATGCAAATGCGTTTAACGATCAATTACCCTTGCCAAGTATTCCGGAAACTGTTCGTCGTTCTGTTTTCGTTGCTCTGAACGCGCTAAGTAGCACGTATTTAAGGCACTTCGTTAACGGCGGATTCGTTGCTTTTGTCGCGAGTAGCGGCCGCGGACGACGGAAGTCGTTCTCGAGATAGTCGAATTAATGTCGAGGGAGAGAAAGAGACAGCATTAAATTTATAGTCAATTAATGTACCGCTTGAGACTCGTTGTCCGCCACTCCGGAAATAATGCGCTATCCCATCAGAAACCCGTGCATACACACATACATATACTGATCCCAGTGCGACATACTCATGCAAGCGCGCGTCTACAACGCAATCCTGAAAAATCCCTCGGACAATCTTCTCTGACGTGCTTCACCCCCGTGTCTCGTCGGTTTCATCCCCCCCCTCCCCCTCCCCGGACTCCGAACCGGTATTCATCGTCACGCACGATTTAACGTTCGATCGATGGCGAATAAACGACGGCTGGGTGTCCCGCGTTGCTGAAAAACTAACGTCGCTTCAAACGGAATTGCGGCCGGTATTGTGCACTACACAACCGTGCAGCTTCTATCGTATACCATCCATTTGCTTCTTTTCTTCAAGCCTTTTTTACCGAGAACCCGGAATTTTAATCAGAAATCGACGAAACACCCGGCGCAATTAAACACCACGTGTCGTATTTCTCGGAAAACTTGAGTACTTTTTGCAATACTGGTCGTATTTGAAATAGGATAAGCGTAAAAATTTCACATTTGACAAAAGCAACTATTTTAATCAATTAATTTCTATTTATGATTGTTTATCATCTAAAATTTAATTAATTAAATTTTCGATTAATTTCCCGTTTATGAAGTTTCCTATATATATTCCAGCAAAGAGAAAATTAATTTCAGATTTGTCAAAGGATAATCATCGTGAAATACTGTGCGAACTTTCCAAAACATACTGTATACCAGTTTGTTTTTTATTGTGTCCAGTTATTCGCCAAAATGTTGCACGATGTGGTTTCTCATTCCATTCGAACAAAACCGAAACGTAGCTTTCAAAGGGATCGAAATAGTTCCCGTGCCGCAGTGGTCCCGCTGAGTTCGAAGGAGACGTAATTAGTTACGAAATTAGTGGAAACCGCGAGGGATATGGACTGCGTACGTTGGCAGACTTTACGCAGAATATGAAATAAGCTGCGTAATTCCGGTAGAAACTGTCAATCATTTACGTCGCTTCAATGTAAAAATAAAAAACTTAAATTCGATCATGGAAGAAATTCGTTCGAAATTCGAAAAACATATAAATGTCAAAGGTAGATATTCATATAATCCATTTTTATTCAGATCATCTTAAATAATGTCTTAAAATGCTAATATGGCTCTGTAATTAGTTTTTATGATACTTTAAGATTGTAAATTAAGATGGTCTTAAACACAAGGACAAACTATAGAGAGAATACCGATCATAAAGAAACAAACTTTTACAGAAATAACTTTTACAGATCTTATCGAATATACATAAAGTTAGTTTCTAGAAATACAATTTTTTACTATTCAGAAAATGACACGATCAACGTTGCCTTATTCATGTTTTCTGCTTTGTTTACAGTTATTCAAATCATGCCTTATTTAAATGAGAACGAAAAGTTCTTTCTTTGATTTAGCATATGTTCTCCGATTTTAGTTAAATCTGAATAAATCCAACGCGCTCCTGAATTAATCCAACAGACTCGGTCAAAGTATTACATTGCCTTGCTCATGAAAGTAAGCTGAAAAAGCTATTAAAGTCGACTCATGGCTTAAATTAGCCTCATTAATTAAATTAATTAATATTGACTTGTTTCGCTCACAACCGTCCCAATATGATCCCCGTCTGTCTTGCGGCGTCTTCTCTTCCACCTTACTCTCACTCGCCTTAGGTAGATAGAATTTATGAATGAATATTATCCTCATCTCTTTGAAGCTCCATCTGTCTCTAACCGGTTGGTAATTTCATCAGAACTTAAGTAGACGTTGATTCCATCCCGCAAATTATATTCGCAAATAGTAGCGTTTTATTAATTTCGCTCGTTGCCAGCGGCGAAGTCGCTTTTTCCATTTCGTTTCTTTGCATGGTCTTATATTAATAAGTATTATTCAAGAAAATCTTTCTAAGTATCTGTTTTTTTTTAATTTTCGCGGATTGCCAAAATAAAAATCAACTCACGGAGAAAAACGAAAATAAATGTAAAATGTCAAACTATGTCTTTCTTTCTCTTTTTCAGCGAGATTTAAAATATAATCACAGGTTAATATTCTCAACTTTGATCTAGATTTATTCACTTTTCTGACACATGTCATGAAAAATATTTGATGTCAATAGTATAACTCGCGATTCGATAGATTCTGATCAACTGAATATTTTATTATTACGGAGAGAATTTTCTTTTAAAATTTATCCTCAAAATATGATAATTGTGGTATCATACAATATTTTAAAGATTTTTATCATGTACTTCAGTAAAATTGATCAAATTTATTTTATATTTTATATTTTATAATTTTATTAATGAATGAGAGAGATTTACTGTACATTAAAATTTTTCGAAATTTTTACAATATTGTTCCATATTGACTGTCATATTTTTAGAGTAAGTTCTAAGAAAAAATTCTCTGCATTCTGTATAAATGCTGATAATTTTTTCTGTATATGTGAATTTTCTGTTGTTTTATCGAAGAGCTATTTAATAAGAATCTAATTGAGAAATATTTTATGGAAATAACATATAGTAAATTTTGTTGTCAATGCAAATATCGTGATTTTGTATGAAAGTTTTCTCTAAAATAAATAAGAAATTCGATCTGATCCTATCGGAACCTCTACTATTCGCCTAAGAAATTTCTTTCTTTTTTTTTACATTCGACAACTCTTGCGACATATTCGAATGGTAAGAACGAGGAATGGAGAAGCTTGGAACGAAGATTGACGACACTACGAACGCGAATGGGCCGCGGTTCAATTCGCGAAATTCAATGTCGCTGAATTTAAACTTCTAGACGGTAAAATCAATCCACCTAATGATCGTCATAATTCACCCTGTCAAAGAATTCGCGAAGCGACGAGCTGCTTCCTTTCACGAGAATTGTATCGTTAAAGCGAAAGACAGCAAAAATATTGCATTGTCTTATCAAACAAATGAAACATAAATTTCTATTTATTTAGTAGAGAATTTATTTGAAAGTTCAAAAATTTGATCACGTATTCAGGAAGGCTTTTCATACTATACGATAGAACGATTTTGCTAAAGTATCTAAAAATTTAGGTATAGATACAGATTTGAAAAAAAAAATATATATATATATATATAATTTTGTTGTCAAAATAATTATGTAGAAAACTCAAATATGATAGCAATATTACAAAAAAATTTTGACACTCTAACAATCAGTTTGAGTAGCCTATAATTCTTTTCACAGTCCAACACACAAAGTTATTATTTTTAAATCTGTCTTGAACTAAAGTTTTAAATACTTTAGCATTCCGTATAGGTCTTGAACAAACTAACTTTAATATATTTGTTGATAAAGTTTTGATTTTTGATGGATCGGATAATCGCTTTTCTGAGGATCGTCTAAGATTTAAACGAGCATCTCTGCACTTTCCGTATAATATTCAATTTTCATATCGGTACTATATCAAATATATGTCTTAAAGCGGCCGAATTCCTGATGAACAAGAGGGATAAGAACAATGTCGGTTGGGGCGAGACCTTTTGGATTGGCTCATGGCGCTTCATTCAACGAAATCGACCGGGTCGTAATTGAAATGCGAACAAAGCTCGCTCGTGACAATACGCGACCTTTAATTAGTGCCACGAAGAACGCGCCGACGACGACGAGCTGAGGGTTGGTTCGTTGCCGAACTTATCCGTTTCCGTAAGTTCAGGAAAGCTTAGAGCAAACAAGCGTGATTTGACAAATTATTCGTGATCGCGTCGAGGAGACGAAGCCGTTCATTTCGGTGGCTAAAGAACGGATGTACGCGTCAACATCGATTGATAAATTCGCGGCGAACGATAGCAGGGGTAGAAGTCGGATTGATAGTCATGCGCAGAGAGGGGCAACGAGTTTCGTGTCGGCTGGCTGTAAATGTTTCCAGTTCCTTCAGTGGAGGAGCTAGAAAGTCCGGATTATACTCCAGACTGGATGAAAATCCGAGTAGGAAGACGCTTTACCTCTTCCGCCGGTAGTTCTTTGTTCATCTTCATCTTCCTCGGAATTGGCGTCTGAAACAACTTTTCAACTTCCTCGGAAAAGAGCTGAGAGGCGGCGATCGCGGTCGACCTAGGTCACGAAGAGATTCCATGCTGGAATAGCAATAGTGTGAGAGAGATTGTTATATTCGAAATTCGATCCATAAAACTCTCATTCTGGATGTTCGAGCAGCTCATCGAGCGTGTGAAAATTATAAGAGTATAGATACGCAGCGGATCTTACAAGAACGTAATACTGCAGTTCTTTTTACTGTAGATTTCTCTTCTCTCTATCCTATCTTATTCGACACATTCTAATATTTTTAGAATTTTATTTTATCCGAACTCTCTATTATCTGTATTATCTCTTAGGAAAGTGCGCTTTCGCGTTTTGTTCTTTCATCGATTGAATATCCGTTTATGTGCACCTAGAGAGAAATAGTGAAGGAGAACTTTTACTACCATCGTCG